TACGGGAGGGTGAGGGAGTGTGCATGTGTGGGTGTGGGTACACAAACACATGAGCAGTGTATGTACAAGAGTGGGAGGGTAAAGTGCGGAATAGGCAATAAACATTCACTCCATAAAAAATCCTTCTCCCATTTAATTATTTACACCCTATATAAAGGATACAAACTATATTACATATATTGCAAGCATTTTTTTCTTCTTTGTCATTTGCATTTTCCCTTTGTTAATAATAGGGCTTGCTAATGTGTACTCAGCATGTCTGTTTTAAATAGGAGGATGTGTCTTTCCTTTTAAAGCTGACTGTGAAATATTACAAACTACAAAAAAGAAAGGTAAAGCAAAATGCCCATAAACTCACCACCCAGTAATTTCCACCTTAACAGTGGAGTTTGTTACTTTGTGACCTAATACAAGAATACCGTATTTAACAGTGCTTTGCTTTGCTGTGCTTTACAGGTGCAGTATTTTCCAGAAATTGATGGTTTGTGGCAACCCTGATTCAAGTAAATCCACAAATGCCATTTTTGGAACAGCATGTGCACACTTCATGTCTCTGCAGGAAGTCAAATTTTGGTCATTCTAGCAAATATCAAACTTTTGTATAATGTTATTGCACTCTTACTACACTAAAAGTATAATGTAAACATAAATGTTATATAATGTGAGACTCATTTAATTGCAACATTCACTTGAGTAGAGTGATCTGGAAATCAACTCATGGTCATCTCCAAGGTACAGCTGTCCCTCACTGTGTGTGTATCTTTCTAGATACAGACATAGAACTTCAAGCAGCCTGTTGATGATAGTGCAATCTGTCACAAACTTACTTTGAAGCAATTTTCAAAAACTAAAAATAATTTCAAACATCATGTCTCGTGGAAAGACTTTACACAGAGAAAGATATTAGGATGGCTAACAGACACATGAGAAATGTTCAAAATCATTGGCAATAAGAGAAATGCACATAAAAACCACAATGAGATACAATCTCACGCTAGTGGCAGTGGCAAAGTTTAATAAAAAATCAAGCAATAAATGTTGGAGAGGATGTGGCAAGATAGGAATTCTTATACACTGTTGGTGGGATTGTGAAATGGTACAACCACTCTGGAAGGCAGTTTGGTGTTTCCTCAGAAGGCTGACCATAGAAATTCCATATGACCCAGCTATTCCACTGCTTGGAATATACCTCAAGAAAATTAAAACTGAGGCACAAATGGAGATTTGCACACCAATGTTCATAGCACAGTCATTCACCATTGCATGAACATGGAAACAACTCAAATGTCCAACCACAATCTAATAAATTGAGAAATTATGGTACATATGTTGGAATTCACATGTTGGAATACTACACAGCATGCACTCGGGAGGGATGGAGAGCATTATGCTAAGTGAACTAACTCAGTCCCATCAGGACAAATACTGTATGAGACCATCATTGTATAAATAGAAAGATAACTAGTAAAACATATATGAGGATCCAAGGGGAAGAGAATAGGAGCAGAGGGGTGAGGATGGGCAGGGGGTAATCATAGGGTCACACAATTTGATGGGTAGAGGGAGGTGTGGGTAAAGAAAATGGAAAAGATCCAGTGTGAAAAACAATGTGAACAAACTTTTTAAGTAAACCAGTATAAAATAAAAATTTTATGTTAAAAAGAAAAAACATTATGTCCCAGCAATCTAAAGTTAAAAATGTGTCCTAAGAAAATAATCTAGTATATCAGCACAATTTCAATTATAATGTTATTTCTCCTGTTTGTAATAACCAAATTTTTAAAACAGCCCAAGTAATCAGGTATTGGTTAGCAAATATGTAGACTACTTATACAATTGAATACTAAAAATGGTGTTGACTATGAATACTTAATGAAAATATATTTATTCAATATACTAGAAAGGTATGGAGCAGGGATACAACCCTGACACACACCTTTTCTGATTTTAAACCATGCAGTATTTTAATCCATGAAGAAGACTTAAAGCAATTATGACAGAGGATAAAAAAAAAATAACCCAAACACACCTATATCCTTCAAAATCAAGAAAACTAAAAGCCTTACCATTGGACCAATAAAAGATAGATGGAGAAAAGATTAAATTTGTCAATGATTTCCCTATACTGCGATCTACAATCAACACCCATGGTAGTAGCAGTCAAGAAATCTTAAGATGAGTTGCGATGGGAAAATCTGCTGCCAAGGACTTCTTCAAAGTGCTAAAGAGTGAAAAGATGAAGGGCCAGCTGGCCCAAGCCCTGGTATTTTCAATTTCTTTATATACATGTGAAAGCTAGACAATGAAAAAGGAAGACTGAAGAAAAACTGATGCCTTGGAATTGTGGAATTATGGATATTCCATAGACTGTTAAAAGAACAAATAAATCAATCTTGGAGGAAATGAAATCAGGGTGCTCCTTAAAGGTAAGGATGATGAAACTTTGTCTCACATACTTTGGAAATGTTGTCAAGAAGTGTCAGGAAAGAGGAAGAGGAAGATCATTAAGGAGTCGGACTGGCACAGTGGCTACAACAATGACCTTGAGCACAGAAATAGATCATAAGGATGGTACAAGATTGGGCAAGGTTTTGACCTGCTGTTCATAGGAGTGCATCAAGTCAACTTGATGGTACAGAACAACAGCAACAATAATCAATTCAGTGAAAAAGCAAGTTAGAAAATAATAGAGAAAGGAAAGATATACAACTATCCACACACACACACACACACACACACATACATACATAATCTGGGTGGTAGATTATTTTCCTTTCATTTGTATTTTTAAAACTTTTAAAATAATTATTTACCATTTAAAACTGCGTACATATAAGTTCACGTCAGGTAAAAATTTTTGAAATCACTGCAAAATTACAGCAACATTGTACTGGCATGTTATCAGCTTAAAACAGTTTACTTTGAACAACTGCACCCAGTGGATAGACGTTTCAGTAGAACATAGAGGCAACTTTAAAACTCATCAGCATCTCCTTGCCATAAGTGATTCATAGCTGAGCTTCCAGAGGGTTTTCAGAGACTATGAATCACACGGAATGAAATTTCCCATCTTTTTCCTGCAGAGCCAGCGGTGGGTTCAAACCCAGGGGGAAGCCTTTAGGTTAGCGGTATAGCTCCCTATAACTATACACGAGAGCTCCCTAACAGCTCTGAAAACAGAGTTGAACTGTGAAGCAAGGACTTTGGGAAAGTACAAAGACACAAGAGAAATATCTCATGCGATAATAGCTCCTCGAACAAAGAAGACAAAAAAACATGGAGACTGCAAGACCCCCAAGGAGAAATTTTTGAAAGCCTGCCCAGATGTGTTTGAGGAAACACCTGTTACATGCTATCTTTGGTGTCAAGTCAATGTAAGTCCACAACTTGACCAAGATCTAATTCACTAAATTTCAGTGTAAAAGACACTCTTTTGTTCTTTCAGGCTTAATTAACCAGTGGTATCCTGATAGATGCTGAATAAGTGGCCCTTTCAGAAAATAAACCAATTAGGTAGGTACAGGGAACTCTGGTGGCCTAGTGGTAAGAAATTGCACTGTCAGCCCAAAGACACATGGTTCAGATCTGCCAGCTGCTTCACAAGAGAAAAAGACAATCAGCTCAAACCCCGTGAGATTTATCGCCTCTGAAAGCCCACTGTAGAGTCAGCTGTGAGTTAGTCCCAGCTCGAGAGTACACAACAACCACAAAGATATTATAAATTATACTGGCATATAAGATAAGTAGCAAATAATTTCTAAGAAGCAATAAGGCATACAATAATTTTTGTTGATTTAATTTATCCAATCGATTCTTACAAAATGCTTTCATTGATTTTTGCTGAACTTTGTATGCATGCATGTGCAACCAATGATTGCAATTCAGCCATGATTAGAAGAATAGTACTAAAAAGAAAAGAAAAATAGCACTGTATTGCATATATTACTATTTCCCCAAAAACTGTACTATCATGAAATCTGATGTGCCTTATACTGCTGAAAGATTTCTCATCTTCATGCAAATTCTTCTAAGAAACTCAGGCTCTTTTTTTTTTTTCAGACTCTCTTTTAATTTCAGCACTACTGATTGCAGGTGGTTTCTTTTCCAGATTTTGTATTTAGATGCAGAGATTAGAGGTTTTTTTGTTCTTGCCTCCAAGGAGCAGCCTGGTATCATCCTCTCTAGGATGAACCTATTTATTCTCCTAGGGGATTATTAACATTTGTTCCAACTCTGGAGTACACAACCATTAAAAGAAGAGTCAAACTCTGGTTTGCAGTGCAAACTGACCAATAGCAATGTAACTACTCTCACTGTTGGCACACCTTAATGGCATAGTCTGTAGAGAGTTACATTGCTAGCCCAAAGGCTGACCTTCTCTGGTTGTTCAAATCTACCATCATTTCCTCGAGTAGAGGATGGGCAATCTCCTCCCATGTGGTGAACAGTCTTGGAAACTCAGTGGAAGGTCAGCTGAGTCAGTTATAACTCGACAGAAGTAAGTTTAGAGAACATGGCTTCCCTAAACTTGAAGTTGGGAATGAACATGAACACTCCAGTCACATGTTATTATGTTGTGTAAGTGTAGGAGAATAAAAACAGCTGAGTCATGGGTATTAATACCTTTGTTTTCAGTAAATTAATAAGATTTAATTTATAATATCAGCATGTTTGGCTGGAAAAAATTGAGAATGTTCTCTTACCAATCAGTATAAGTCAGTTACAAGATAATTCTTTCTAACACTAAAACAAGAACAAATTTTACATGAGGGAGGCTGGTGGGGGGAGCATTGTGAGGAAGTTGAACTATCAAGTGTTTTGTTATAAATAATTATACTATAATTTTTGAAGCACATGTTATTGAAGAGCTCCCCACAGTCTATAGGAAAACTGCTTGCCCTGCTGAATGTTTTTATAGCTGGTTACTTATTGCCGAGGGATCAAGAGGGCAGTGTGATCAATCTGCCATTTCCGTATATATGCATCTTGAATCTCTTAAGTGGTCACTCTGTAAGAAGACATTTTCCAAGAATCACCAGCTTCTACATCTAGACTTCACCTCAGAATGCAGGTAAATAAGAGACATCATGCTAGCAAAAGTGGGGCATCAGCAAAAAGAGGAAGACCCTCAATGAGATAGTGAAAATAACAATGGGCTTGCGCGGTGGTGTGGTGGAGATCATAAAGATGCCCGAGGCTAGGAAAGGTTCCCATCTGTTGTCCATCCAGGTTCCTGTGAGTTGCAGTCAACTCAAGGATGCCTAACAACGTGTGATATTTCATAACATTTCTGGTATTTTAATTCTACTAATAAGACAACTTTTCAATCTGCATCATTTCAATTTCCATCATTTATCATAACATTACTTTTCTGAGTAAGAATATCTGCAAAATTTATTCATTTCTGTGAATAATACTTCTTTAGTTTCTGGGGTTAAACTTAAGGGGGAAATCTAGATGTTAATGAGTATGGTAAAAGGGATTAATAAAAAAAAAAAAGAAAACATGTTCCCAATCTTGAAATTTTATTTGAAAGTCTACAGAAGTGATAAGTGAATTTCCCCACTGAGAACATTATTAGAGATTAACAGAATTTTAAAGTCTTATGGAGTCATTAAGAGTCAGAAAAAACTGGGCGACGCAGCGCGAGGGCGACGCAGTGCGAGGGCAAGGCCACCAGCCGGGGGAACGCCGCCGCCAGTCCGGGGAACGCCGCCGCCAGATGGGGGAACGGTGCCGCCAGACAGGGGAATGCACGCCGCCGCCAGACGGGGAACGCCGCGAGAGGGACCCGGGAAGAACAACAGCCAGCCACCTACCGTGGAACTCCAGAGGAGTGAAGACTGTGAGACCCCAGAGGAACAAAGACTACCGGACACTGTGGGACCCCCCCTGCAACCCACACCTGTGTGACCCTTA